CCAGGCTCTGCGTGTGGGGCTGGGGGGGCCGGGGGGAGAAACAGCGGGATCAGCACCGGGATTGGAGCAGGGAAGGGGATCCAGGGGAGAAACAGCGGGATCAACCCATGGAAGGGGATCCAGGGGGAGAAACAGTGGGATCAGCCTCGGGATCGACCCATGGAAGGGGATCCAGGGGGAGAAACAGTGGGATCAGTCTTGGGATCGACCCAGGGAAGGGGATCCAGGGGGAGAAACAGAGGGATCAGCACCGGGATTGACCCAGGGAAGGGGATCCAGGGGGAGAANGACCCAGGGAAGGGGATCCAGGGGGAGAAACAGAGGGATCAGCACCGGGATTGACCCAGGGAAGGGGATCCAGGGGGAGAATCAGCGGGATGAACCCCGGGATTGGAGCAGGGAAGGGGATCCAGGGGGGAAAACAGTGGGATGAACCCATGGAAGGGGATCCAGGGGGAGAAGCAGCGGGATCAGTCCCGGGATTGGAGCAGGGAAGGGGATCCAGGGGGGAAAACAGCGGGATCAGCCTCGGGATCGACCCAGGGAAGGGGATCCAGGGGGAGAAACAGTGGGATGAACTCCGGGATTGGAGCAGGGAAGGGGATCCAGGGGGAGAAACAGCGGGATCAGCACCGGGATTGACCCATGGAAGGGGATCCAGAGGGAAAAACAGTGGGATTGACTCCAGGAGCTATGGAAGGGGATCCAGAGGGAAAACCAGCAGGATCAGCCTTGGGATCAACCCAGGGAAAAGGATCCAGGGGGAAAAACAGTGGGATCAGCCCCGGGATTGGAGCAGGGAAGGGGATCCAGGGGGAGAAACAGCGGGATGAACCCCGGGACTGGAGTAGGGAAGGGGATCCAGGGGGAAAACCAGCGGGATCAACCCCTGGATTGACCCATGGAAGGGGATCCAGAGGGAAAACCAGTGGGATTGACTCCAGGATTGACCCATGGAAGGGGATCCAGAGGGAAAAACAGTGGAATCAACCCATGGAAGGGGATCCAGAGGGAAAACCAGTGGGATTGACTCCAGGATTGACCCATAGAAGGGGATCCAGAGGGAAAAACAGTGGGATTGACTCCTGGAGTCAGGGAAAGTGATCCAGAGGGAAAACCAGCAGGATCAACCCCGGGATTGGAGCAGGGAAGGGGATCCAGAGGGAAAAACAGCGGGATCAACCCCGGGATTGGAGTAGGGAAGGGGATCCAGGGGGAGAAACAGTGGGATCAACCCATGGAAAGGGATCCAAAGGGAAAACCAGTGGGATCAACCCCTGGATTGACCCATGGAAGGGGATCCAGGGGGAAAACAGCGGGATCAGCCTCGGGATTGGAGCAGGGAAGGGGAGCCAGGGGGAAAACAGCGGGATCAGTCTTGGGATTGGAGCAGGGAAGGGGATCCAGGGGGAGAAACAGCAGGATCAACCCATGGAAAGGAATCCAGAGGGAAAACCAGTGGGATTGACTCCAGGACTGACCCATGGAAGGAGATCCAAAGGGAAAAACAGTGGGATTAACTCCAGGATTGACCCATGGAAGGAGATCCAAAGGGAAAACCAGTGGGATCAACCCCAGGATTGACCCATGGAAGGGGATCCAGAGGGAAAAACAGTGGGATGAACTCCAGGACTGACCCAGGGAAGGGGATCCAGAGGGAAAAACAGTGGGATCAGTCTTGGGATCGACCCAGGGAAGGGGATCCAGAGAGTAAAACAGTGGGATTGACTCCAGGGGCTATGGAAGGGGATCCAGAGGGAAAACCAGTGGGATCAACCCCAGGATTGACTCAGGGAAGGGGATCCAAAGGGAAAAACAGTGGGATCAACCCCTGCATTGACCCCTGGAAGGGGATCCAGAGGGAAAAACAGTGGGATTGACTCCTGGAGTCAGGGAAGGTGATCCAGAGGGAAAAACACTGGGATCAATCCCTGGAAGGGGATCCAGAGGGAAAACCAGCGGGATGAACCCCTGGGATTGCCCCAGAAGTGGAGGAGGGATGGGTCCCCCCGGGAATGCCGGGAAGGGGCGTCTCTCCGGGCGGGAAATCCCGGGAATGCTCACCAGGGTCATGCCCAGGTAGGCCATGCCGGTGTGGGTGAGCTGGTTGTTCCACAGCACCAGGGTGAGCAGCCCCTTCCTCTGCTCCTTCAGCCCCTCACAGATGTAGGCCAGGCCTGGGAAAAGAGCCCGGGAATCAGGGAATTCCGCCGGGAATCCGCCGGGAATCCGTCGGGAATCCGGGTGGATCCGGCAGCATTCCCCAAAAATCCAGCCCGGGTTCTTTCCCCCTTTGTGCTCTTGGGAGGGAAAATTAATTAGTGCTGGGGATGGAGAGTTAATTAGTGGTGGGTGGGAGTCATTGGAGAAGGGAAAAAACCCCGGGAAGGAGCCGGAGGAGGAGTGGGAATGGCGGGAAGTTGGGATCGGCCGGGGGCTGGATGGGGAGGGGCTGGAGGTGGATCCTCTGCTCCAAAACCATTCCCAGAACATTCCTGCCTGGATTGAGGGGCTGGAGGTGGATCCTCTGCTCCATTCCCCTTCCCAGATCATTCCTGCCTGGATTGAGGGGCTGGAGGTGGATCCTCTGCTCCAAACCCCTTCCCAGAACATTCCTGCCCGGATTGAGGGTCAGAGATGGATCCTCTGCTCCAAACCCCTTCCCAGATCATTCCCCACAGGATTGAGGGTCAGAAATGGATCCTCCACCATTCCTTGGACATTCCCAGCCCATTCCTGCCTGGACTGAGGGTCAGAGATGGATCCTCCCCCCTCCATTCCCCTTCCCAGCCCATTCCTGCCTGGATTGATGGATCCTCCACCATTCCCAGGACATTCCCAGCCCATTCCTGCCTGGATTGAGGGGTTGGAAATGGATCCTCTGCTCCAAACCCCTTCCCAGATCATTCCCCACAGGATTGAGGGTCAGAGATGGATCCTCCACCATTCCCAGGACATTCCCAGCCCATTCCTGCCTGGACTGAGGGTCAGAGATGGATCCTCCCCCCTCCATTCCCCTTCCCAGATCATTCCCCACAGGATTGAGGGGCTGGAGATGGATCCTCTGCTCCAAACCCCTTCCCAGATCATTCCCCACAGGATTGAGGGTCAGAGATGGATCCACAGCTCCAAACCCCTTCCCAACCCATTCCTGCCTGGATTGAGGGGCTGGAGGTGGATCCTCTGCTCCAAACCCCTTCCCAGATCATTCCTGCCTGGATTGAGGGTCAGGAGGTGGATCCTCCACCATTCCCAGGACATTCCCAACCCATTCCTGCCTGGATTGAGGGGCTGGAGGTGGATCCTCTGCTCCAAACCCCTTCCCAGATCATTCCTGGCTGGATTGAGGGTCAGAAATGGATCCTCCACCATTCCCAGGACATTCCCAATCCCATTCCTGCCTGGACTGAGGGTCAGAGATGGATCCTCCCCCTCCATTCCCCTTCCCAGCCCATTCCTGCCTGGACTAATGGATCCTCCACCATTCCTTGGACATTCCCAGCCCGTTCCTGCCTGGATTGAGGGTCAGAGATGGATTCTCCCCCCTCCATTCCCCTTCCCAGATCATTCCTGCCTGGATTGAGGAGCTGGAGATGCTCCAAACCCCTTCCCAGATCATTCCCCACAGGACTGATGGATCCTCCACCATTCCCAGGACATTCCCAGCCCATTCCTGCCTGGATTGAGGGTCAGAGATGGATCCTCCACCATTCCCAGGACATTCCCAGCCCATTCCTGCCTGGACTGAGGGTCAGAGATGGATCCTCCCCCCTCCATTCCCCTTCCCAGCCCATTCCTGCCTGGATTGAGGGTCAGAAATGGATCCTCCACCATTCCTAGGACATTCCCAATCCCATTCCTGCCTGGATTGAGGGTCAGAAATGGATCCTCCACCATTCCCAGGACATTCCCAGCCCATTCCTGCCTGGATTGAGGGTCAGAGATGGATCCTCCCCCCTCCATCCCCCTTCCCAGCCCATTCCTGCCCAGATTGAGGGTCAGAGATGGATCCTCCCCCCTCCATTCCCCTTCCCAGATCATTCCTGCCTGGACTGAGGGTCAGAGATGGATCCTCCCCCTCCAT